GCAGAAACACCTGTGCATCAAACTATTCCTAAACTGAACTTCTGGCACTGAACTGAAGCAGTCTGTTCTCTCTCTCTTACCTTGTGAAACACTACATCAGAGGAAGAAAAGACAGTCAGCTAAACATCGGTTTAAAACATGAAGCTTAACCGAGTTTCCAAGCACGGGTGAAGAGAACATTACGAAAGAATAAAATATTCCTACTGCATTTCAGCAAGGCAGTTCTTTTAACCAATTATATGTGCATGTGCATTATATATATGGGGCTATATAAAAATTCTGTCAACATTTGGATCTCAAAGTCATGCAAGATGTTATATGGATAAATCTGACTTCAAAATAAGCAAAGTGACCTCTGGAACAGAAGAAAAACTTCAAAAGAGCACCATTCCGGTTAAATACTGAAGACGACTTTGATCTAAATTTAGATAGTCACTTACTGAAACATTTCTTTCAAAGCAAAAAACAGAATAGATCTTTCTGTAGATCTTTTTTCCTTCCATGATCTGTAGGTAGGAAAGCAGCACTGCACTTAGACCATCAAGTCAAAATGCAGCTGCTATAGAATTGTCAAAAACAAATCAAGGTCTACAGAAGCCTTTTTTCTGCTCCACAGAAATACCGCATAGTTGCTTCATGTAAGAAATAGTCTAAGGTTTTTAGATCTTGGGGGGGAGGGGGGGTCAGTTTGGATCTCAGTGTGGCTGTAGAAAAATATGAACTATGCACTTTCTGGTAGCAGTGTTTTGAGAAGGGGTATGGCACTACCTTTCTGACCTCTTTCTCTCTGAGAAGATGGGTAGAGTACAGTATGTAGTTTGAAACCATCTGTGTGAACCAATAACATGTTGGTACTCTTTCCAGCTATTACAATTGTGGCAGTTTTATCACTGCTCTCTGAAATCTGAACGTTTTTGAGTAAATATTATGAAGGCATTCATTAGAGATGTCACGTGAATAACATGATTTTTAATTCTTCTCTAACTAGCAAACATATGGGTTATGTTGGTCAGAAATATGATGAAGGATTCATACCAGTAATTTCAGTTTTCTTAGGCTTCATCAATTGTCCCATCATAGAAAGGATGTCTTGCCCACCCTAGGAAAATAAAGTTACAGATCAACTATTAAGTCTTCTAGTGAACACATACAAGGAGAATTTTAAAAACTGGGAAGTGGTTAAAGAAGTTATTTCTTACACTTAACTCAATGCTTTATTTCATCAGTGGTTGGTAACTTGCCAAAGGGTAGGCAACTTTACCACAGTGGTATCCTAATAGATTAATTATCCATGCCCACACTCATTCTTTAGCCTTGCTCATTTGGAGTGCGTAAAATATCAAAATGAGATACCCTCTTTTAAAAATTGTAAAAGAAGCTCATTAAGAACTGAAAACATCATCAAGGAACAGAGACTTGGGATGGCCTGTGCACACTGTAACTGTTCAACCTATCAACACAATTATGCTGAGTTTTAACACTTTTTAATTCCTCAATTTTATCATGTAAATGATTTTGCTGGGAAAAAAAAGTATGTTTATTAAAAAACATACTTTTAAAACATACTTTAAAAAATTAATATACTTTATTAAAAAATATATTATTTTTATTATAGGTTAAGTGGTTGTAGTATCACAGTGTAGGAGTGGCAGCCTTTAAACACGGATACTGTATTGTCAGTGGCTTTTGTTTATGACAGAGATGGAGTTTCCTCAATACTCAGTTTATGTTAAGATACAGTAAAGAGTGTTGTGTTTTTGTTTTTTTTGCTGAAATGCATTCAGAACTCTAGTGAAAGGAAGTTCAACGAGAAGTTATGATATATTTCTGAAGGAAGCAGGGACATTAACAGAATCTACAGCAAAGTCAAAAATACTTCGTGATCATTTATCATAGTGCTTGCAATTTCTATTTCATGGCCACAAAGCCATAGCTACAGAGAAGAAATTAATCTGTGTTCATGACTTTCAATAAAAAAATTATGCAGATCTGGCTGCTGCTACCTCACATCTTTCCTTACAGAGAGAAAGATGTAATCTTTTTCTCTGGTCAAGAGGAGCAGCCCACTCAGCTTTTTCTGCAGTGGATGGGGCACACCAGTATGTGGAAGGAGGGAGGCAGGTCTAGATTATGCTTTTACTGTGATGGTAGTAGCAGATCCCACATGTCCATGTGGAAGTTCCTCTGACAAATATTCGTAAGTGAATCCTATCCAAGCAACCACCTGTTTGACCTGGACAGGAGGGCCAAAGAGGCAGCCAACTACGGTAGGACCTCCCTGCAGAGAGGAGAGGTAGAGTGGCCTTCAAGGTAAGACATGCTGCTCTTCCTATTGAAGGTAATTTAGGATATCTCAAAGCTTTTTGCATCTCCTTGATTATTTTAAAAGCTATCACATCCATGTAAAGTAATTTTCTTGTAAAGACTTCATCTGTGGAGTCAGGTACCTGAGGTCGAGCGTTGGCCACATCCAAGTCATGCAGGGTGACATCCTGAATAATTTCCTTTTTCTTGTGCACATCACCCTTCGGCAAGGGAACGTATTCTTCAGCTTCAAGGTCGAATTCTGTAGCATAGGTATCACACCTGCCTTGCCTCTGGAGAAAGGCAAAGAAGAAAAGCCCAGGTATAGAATTGGTTTCAGTGCCAAAACTTGAGTGACATAAACTTGATAAAGGGCTTGGTTCACAATTACAGTACTGAAAAGCTTCAGTCTGACAATTCAGACACCCCCCTCCCTGACTTAGCAACAGGCATATTGTATCTACTGATCAAAGCTCAAAAACTCTGGTGAAATGCACCTGATATTTTAGCAGTAAGAATATTCCACTTTTCTCTCTCTCTCTCCCCTCTTCTTTTAACTGTATGCAATTCTTGCTAAAGGACAAATCCAGCAGATTAGCTAGAGATTGGGAGAACTGTTCAAGACTCCTTTGTAGGTGGGTGATTTATTATATGATACAAAATATTATGCTCATCCATTAAACAGCAAGTATCGCTGTACACTACTTTCTGAATCAGATATGAAAAGAATGCTAACTAATGCAGTATTCCCTTCTACATGTATATATCTTGTGGAGAAAATACCAGAGCGATAAAAGAAAGATTAAATACACTGCACATGTCAGCCTGAAAATGACTAAAGTTGCTTGGTTTTCTCCCCCCTTCCCTTAAAGATGTTTTGATCTTACAGAAAATAAAACTCATCCAGGCAGCATCAGTGATAGCTTCCTTGCCAGATGACCTCAATTGTGAACCAGATGACCATGCTCTTTCAGTGCAAGAGATATTTTTCTTTATAGATAAGGAAAACACTAGGCTCTTATTAAAACTTTCACGTAACCATTTCACATCAATTAAGCTTAACAAATTGGAGAGCTTTTTAACAAAGGCAGAGAAAGACCTGCAAGAATACATCCACCTGCATAAAAATGCAGAACTTTTATCTTACCTTGACGGCTCCGCTGTTCGCTTCAATATAAATAACATCTCCAGTTTCCACTCGTTCCTTCTGCAAGCTTTCAAATATGCTTGGGTCCAGCTGGAGACAAACAAACATCACGGTTGGTCAAAACAGTTCCATATTATTATGGTAATGGAGGAAGAGAAGCTTAGACTAAAGCTCACTCCTATCAGGCAAAATTAAACTGTAACCTCCCCCCCCCCCCCCCCAAATACCTTGTAGGATTTTATGAAGCTGTAAGACCTGGAGTACTGGTAGAGTACAACCTTAGTCTCTATTGTAAAATCTGAAAGAAGATGCACAAAACTTACTTCCTTACATAAAAATAACTGTCTGAAGAAAGTGACATTAAGAGCCAAAAACATAATGATTGCAGTAACAAAGTATACCTTTGTGCAAAGTGACAATATGTTTATACCTAGGATGTGGTGCTTTGTTTGCTTTCTAGCAAAACTTGCACAAAAAAAACTGGCTATTGCACTGGCTTATGCTACTTGATCTCTTGAGTCTGCATACTCTGTGGAGCTGGGTGAAGGAGAGTGGATATGGAATATGTTAGATGCTATTGTTTCTCTTAGTACATATTTATTCATTTTTGCTCTACATTTTCTTGTTTTCAGAGTGAACAAACTGAAGATGATGCTTAACAACAGAGACAGCATTCAGTTCTTTCACACTAACTGACAGGGAAATTAAACAATATGGACAGAGACTTGTACAAGAAAACAAAGGGGAAGTGGGTCTGAGCTGGCAACCTACCAGCTCAATTTCTAGTTCTCTATCACATCTCCACACATAGAAAGAAGGGATGTGACAGAAAGAACAATTTATACTGAAGCAGGCAAAATTTCCCAAAACCATACTCAAAAATTCAATTGCGTATCAGGAAAACAAAAAAAAACATACAAACAAACGAGCTTTCTTGTACATTTGCTGTCATGACCACAAAGTTACAACTGCAATCAGTGTGAGCACATCATAGTCTGAGGCAGGTTGTAGCTCAGATTCTCAGCTAAGCTCATTTTTTCTGTGATGCTAGTAAGGCTGTAAAACTGCATCAGAATCTCTTCCTGTTTAAACTCTCCTTTAGCTCGCTTGAATGTGCATGAGTGTGTGTTGCCAGACAGAAAAATAACAGGAACTGTTGACTGAGTGATAGGATTACCCCTCATTTCAATGGGTAGGAGAAAAGACTAACATCTAAATAATCTCTACAAAAAGCAGATAAACATACATCCTCAGGAGTAGGAAAAAGTTTTCTAGCAAAAATGTCTCCTGGCATTGTTATGCTACACAACTGGGGATCGAGAGCTTAAAATGGAAATAAGAAGTGCTAAAAACAGAAGTTGTAGATATGAAATTCTTAAGGAAATTTTTGAGACTCTACCATCCATACCTTCAACTGTTTGGTTCCCTTTGCAGTTTTGAGTCCTATAATTACATGGCTGATGGTTTTGCCGTAACCCCCCATAGGATTTTCAGTCTCACATGGAGTTAGTTCTGTAACCTCTCCTTCATAAACCTCCTTGGTCTCTTTAATCCTCAATCCTGCAAGAAATTGTTTGGAATAGTACACAAATCAATGGCCATAAACTTGCATAAATTGATTAACAGGTATGTTAGAATCTCATAAAATTAATAAAAGCTTAATGTATCATGTAAAATATTTGTCAAGTTAATAGCAAAAGGTGAGCTAGACAAAATTTAACAGAGTTTGCTATGATGCAAACTTAAAACTATTCCAAAAGAGGTGACATTGACATCCTTACTTTGCTGTTTTTCAGATAGTTCAGAAATCATCACGGTATCAGAGTATCTTGTATTCTTGTCACAACTATTGTAATGGACTAACAGTTGTTATAAACAGATAAATAATATGGAGCTGAGGAGTTTTACGGTTAGGCTGTCCCCAAGAAAAAGCACTATCATCACCACCACTACAATTATGCAGATGTTCTAACTACATAAAAGTTCAAAGAGCCCACATCTGAAGAGACTCTATAAAGCATTTTATGAGACACATATGCTGTACCAAAAATAATGAATGGGCTGTAACAAGATATAAGGAAGTCATCCTGCCCAGTCTGAGGCTATTAGGACTTTATAAAACTTTCCTTGTTCCTCAACTTTTCATTTTACTTTGAAATAGATCAGACACTTCACCAGTAATCTTGAGTTGTTGATAGGGAAATAGAAAGAACTGACAAATATGAGTCTGTCTCCCTCTACTGGACCCAAATCAAGAGTAGGATTTGAAATGTGAGAAATAGGTTATTTGTGGACAACGTGATTTCTTGGTACGAAGTATTTGTTTTCTCTTATTTAGCACTATATAAGAAGTTCTATACGAAGTTAATTTTTAACATGTTTTTCTGGTATGCCAAACCATCACATAAAAAAATATTGAACCTTTGAGTTATAAAATTGTCCTAGACAAGGCTGTATCCCATAGGTTACATACGCAAGGAATATTTAGTAATACGGGAAACTGTACTGCAAAACTGTCGGTGGTGAGAAATGGACATTCACAGGCTTGTTTTTCCTTTTTGCTTTGTTTTTAAACTTTCAGCACAAGCACTGCTCTGCTCCCACAAATTGCAAGACATTCATGCTTGCGGTAAGTTTTGTATGTTCCTAAAGTACATCTTCCAGTCTCACTCTTCTGAAAAGTAGCAGATTCACATGATCAGAATCTGCTCCACAGCACAAACCAGAGCTTGAGCCAGCAAGGATAACCCAGAGACTTGCTTCAAAAGCATGCCTCTAACTTAAACTGATGTGTTCACATAGGTATGTCCATAGAAAATATTTACAGTTTAGCATAATCTGAGCAAAGGTAATCATGTTCTGAATTTGCCGATTATTTTTTGTTTTCAAATCAACCTGCATTTATCAGCTATGAATTTCACTCTTAAATGAGCTCTAATTTAAACAGAGACATCTACTTACAAATTAGAAGCATGAATCTAAGAAAGTTGTAGAATGGTTCATGTTTGGGCTCAGTAGCACTATACGTATGAACTTAGACAATGCTTATTTGATTTACTGGCAGTTACAATTTGGAGATACAGGGAATGGACATGCTGTTCAAGGGGCTATTCTAGTAGTAATTTGTTACTGCGACTGAGCTTGTAACATTAGCTACTGTCATCATCCGTGCCAGCTGCTAATAAGCTCTATACGATATTAATCCCTCTCATCTGAAGTGTTTTTTGTTTTTAAAACCTGTACAATTCCATCTTCTCATTTCCCACTCCATGTTTTTATGTTTCTTACATCTACCTGCTATACACTAGATAGTGCCTGGCCAGTAGAGAATGTCAAGTCTGTTATTAAATGACTCAACAAAAATTCTGAGAACTCTGAATTGCCCTCTTCCTCGTACAGCAATGTGTTTGAACGTGTCAGATTCTCTTGTTTCCAAGGGAAAAAAAAAAAAAAGGAAAAAAGAAGAAACTGATGTTAACATCCCTGATAATTTTTATAAATAATATAGATGATATATATAGAACCTGCTGGTAAGGTATCATACAAAAAAAAATAATCAGGTATTGATTGACGTAAGTTCATTTTTTCTTCTTGCACCCAGTTACAGCAAACAGTGCGTTATGCATACAAAATCCTTTTTTAGACCATGAACCCTTTTAAAGTATTTATTTACCCAGAAGGGGATCTAAAACCTAACTGAGATTTAAACATGATTGGAAAGTGTTCCATTTTGAAAAACAAGGGATACAAGTCCTTTAAAATATTTTTTTACACTGATAAAAACATTCAATAAAGGTTGTGTTATGAAAATGTGACAGAGAATTCAACACAAAGGAATAAAAGAGGTTCCATCTTTCATTAACACCAATATTTGTTTAGAAGTGTCTCTCTACTGCCATTCAGGGAATGCAGGGGACTGACAATGTATCTGGCTGTTAACCTGAGAGAGTTAAAATACTGCTATCTCTGCAACTGACAACACGGATGGCAGAAGTTTCATCTCTTGGTTCAAGTTTCCAAATCTCTGACAGGGAACTTCATCACATCAAGGAAATATTGCAGACTACTCACTCTCTGGCTTCCCTCCCCCAGGCCCTGTCAGACTCACGGTAACTAGAAGACCACAGACTACTGAAAGTTGCTTTCTTATAAAAGTCAATGGACTGCGTTTGTTTGGTTGCAGAGTTGAGAGACATCTTCACTGCCATCAAATACTCTGATGAAGTCAGAGGGGAAACATGGTACAGAAACCAGGAAAATTAACTGTTAGTATGTCCAGTGTTTTGGTTAGGCTATCTTCAGGCAATCCTCAGACAAACAAGGGCCACTTTAACTGCGTTTATCAGCTGTCAGCAAAGATCACCTAAGAGATTTTAGATACTTAGTAAGGTTGTATTGTAAATTGGTTAAACTTGCATTGAGCTTGTACAAGCACTCTGGAATTGAGAAGAAAATTGAGGAAGGTATTAAGTTAAGGTATTTATTTTGCTGGCACAGAATTTTCCTCTGGGCTCACTGTTACACTAAATCACGCTAACACTGCCATTTGGGAGTCCCCCAAAGAAGGCTGTTTGCTTAATAGCATAAAATCACAAAAAAAAAAAAAAAGGAGAGACCATTTTGCTGTCTAAAAGTATTTCTGCTAATGTAAGAAACTAAAAATAGGTTTTCTTTTGTATTTATGCAGTCAAAAGCAAAAGGAGATGGACCTGGAGGTTCAGAAGAGACTCTGGGGAAGCAGAGTAAACCAAAAATAACTGTGGGATACAACCATTATATTATGGTTTATGTCCAGAGGGCCTTACCGACTCCACTAAGTATGGGAAGAGATTCACCAAACTAAGATAAACGCAAAAAAAAAAAGAACATACACTGTGATCTCGAAACCACCATGACCACTGAAAAAATCTTCCTTTTCAGATGACTGGAAAAAAAACAACAAAGTAAGTATCATGCAAATACTTAATTATTCTGCTTTTCTGAAACTTACCAATTGCCCGTCGGAAGTTTTCCATTAGAACTTCTGTTTTCTTGATCTCAGTGGAATAGACTTCACTTCCAACCATAGGACAAAAGGGAACTTTACTGCCTAGTTCCTGAGCAATAGCTAAAGCCAAAGCAGTCTTAAAAATAGAAAAAGACATTATGCATTTAATTTGTTTAAGGATGAACATAGGATTCTTTCTGCACAGAGTTAACTTTCCTTATCTTATCGCTTTCCATCTGTCAACTACCAATTTAATATTAGATCCATTCTGTCTGACAGATATGTCTCACACATAGCAAGCCCCCTCCTCCACAAAACAAATTAGACATTAAGTGACTTTTACCAAAGATACATAAAACACCTTAACAGAACAATACTGGATGCTTGAATTTAACATCTGATACAAATGCTAGTTGCCTGAAATAGCAGGAGGGCAAAAATAAAAGCAAAAACTATCTAGGATGTTATATTAAAATTAATTTTGAAGCCTCTTCTTAAGAAACCACACCACCTATGTGTTTATAATCTACACATGATGTCTTTACGCTAATGATGCCTGAACATACCACTGGATACAGCCAACATTAATGACATGGCAAAAATCAAAACATAAAGCGGGGAAACACATCAATACCGTAATGAAAAAGAAAATCCGGTAGATGAAAACAATATGTAACCACTACGCCAAAATGGTTTGGGCAAGAAATAAAATGAAAATAGCTCTTGGAATACTTTATAAATAAGGAAAATAATACCTTGCCAGTTCCAGGAGGTCCTGCCAACAGTACAGCTCTACCAGCCATTTTCTTGCTTTTGATTAATTCTACTATAATCCCGCAAGCCTATAGATTAAATAAGTATTTACATTGTTAACAATAGTATTGCTGTAATATTTTTCATTCCAGTAACAGTAGACATGTCAAGAAAAATTAGGTCATGTGAACCCATTAAAATAAAGAGGATTACAATTTTATGCGTATAAAATAGACGCAAGATCAGAAAAAAAAATACTTCCCACAATTACTTTATCTAGTACGCTGAAAAAAATTAAATAATCAAAGACAGCAAAATTCAAACGTCAGAGCAAAGCATCCTTTCCCTCTCTCCGAGCAACAGGCATGTATCAGGGTATAAAAATAAAGCAAGAAGCGCGGTTTGGGCCTTCGGGACGACAATTCGCTGAAGCACTCCCCGCGGGCCGGATGCAGGGCTGAAAAGGAAGCCCCAAACCCCACCTGCAGCGCATCTCTGCCTGTTGGCGGCTTTTTGCTGCCTCTGGCACCTTCATTCTTAGACTCAAGGCGCAGAAGGACCTCAGCCACTTGAGCGAACAAGGAGGAGCCCGGAGCCAAAAGCCCAGAGCTACGGGGCCACAAAACCCGGGGGCTGCCGCCCGGCGTCCCCTCACCTCAGGAGGGGCCAGGATCGGGGCCTTCCCCCCCCCCCCCAAATCTCACCTCCCTCGCGTTCTCCTGCCCCACCAGCCCGGCCCCCGCCGGCTTGGCGGTGCCGCTCTCGTCCAGCCCCAGCCCCTTGACATGGCTGTGGGCGGCGATGCGCTGTGTTTTGGACGTGCTCTTCACCTCCTCGATCTTCATGGCGGCCCCGCTCCCCTCCGCGCCTCACGCGGCCCGCCCGTTGCCAAGGCGCCCGCCCGCCTCAGCTCGGCCCGCCCCCCGACCACCGCGATTGGCCCGCCTGCCGCCAGCTCTCGGTGCTGATTGGCTGAGGCGCCTGCCCGTCGCAGTCAGGGGGTGCGTTGGGGTTTAGCGTCCGGCTCGGCGCTTCCCGGTGCGCCGCTCTGAGGGGCCGGCGGCGAGCGGGGGCTGCGGGGAGGGGGGGCCGGGGGCGAGGCGGCTTCACCTCACCCCGGGGGTTGTGGCCAGGGGGCGAGTGAGGGCTGGGAGCAGGGCGCTCCCCTCGCCACAGGGGCTCCGGTTTGCTCCCGGTGGTCTCCTGCCCCCGCTGGCAGTGGGTGCAGCTCACAGAGCTGAGGTGAAGCTTCCTGTGAGGGGTTTCTAGCTATTGGTCATGGAAGTAGCAAGGGCAGGGTTGTACCCCCGAGTGTGTCTTCCTAAATTCTTCCAGTTACCTGTGTGACGGCTAAATAACGCCATTTTGTATGTCTAAGGTACTTATGTAAGCACCTGAGGCTTTAATTTGTCTTCCAGTACGCTGTATGTATGATCTAATAGCTTCCTCCTGAGCTTGGGGCTACCGAATTGAGGAATAAACTTCATCTCCTCAGCATCCAGCTTCGTGCCCTCACAGAACTCACCCATGGCTCTCACACCTGTGCCATCCCGTGGCTTGTGGTTCACCTGTTGCATCTTCTGTATGGTGTTTAAATGCTTGAGATGGAGACGTGTGAAATCTCAGAGCACCTCGGAGCTGCCTGTTCCCCTGACTTCTCCTTGTAAATAAAGGGATTACTCTCCAAAATGAGAGGACTCTTCCCACAAATGCATCGTGTCTGATAATAAAGCTGTGTCTACGTCTGTGATGCATAAGGTTAATGGACTAACAGCGTGATGCAGGCCTGTTTGTTCAAGGGGATGCTGCTGTCTCAGCTCTGCTACCTCTTGCCAGGCAGATTTACAAAGGTATTTGTGTGATGATACAAAATAGAGGGGAGCTTTTGGGAAGGGTGGGTGTAGTGGCTGGGGCTGCAGAAGCTTGGTGGGCACAATACGTGCTGTTTGTTCCCTTTTTGTCCAACAGCTTCCGTTAGTTTTGATATGTGTCATTCAGCAAAGACTTGGCTATTTGTTTTTTTCTTTTTCTGCTAACTTGTTCTGTCAGTTTATATTTACATAATCTAGTTTAGAATTGCAATTACAATATAATTGCGCACACATGTAGTTCAACACCTTTGTAAGGGTATCCACTTAGACAACTGTTTTAGCTAAGAATTTTTGAATCCAATAAACACAAGCTATCCCTTAAATAATTAAAAAAGCATGTATACTATTGGATTCTATACGTCCTTTCAGGGTCATATTAGTCACAGAATACAAATGCCTAATATGTACTGAGCTGTAGACATTTTTTGGTAAAAGAGCAAATATACAACTTTGATTTCTCTAGTGTATTGGGCTGCTGCAAGTGTTGTGGGTATGTCTGGTCAGAGTTCAAGTTTCTGCCAGTTCTGAAGGAATAATTAGCAAGTCTTCGAAGAGCTCTGGAGGCAGCGATGTTGTTAGTAATAAGTTCAGGCCAGCTATGGCACTCTTTTAATAAGAGCTAGCAATGGGTGAAATATGTAGTCTTTTGTTAACTTTACTGAAATCTGTCCATATGCTCCGTGTTATCTTGTTTGAAATTGCAGCCAGGCACTTTTTTTTTTTTTTTTAAACTATGGCATTTCAAAGCCTATTTATTAATATTTCCTTATTTTCTTTTGTGAAAGGGTATAGGAACATACACTGAGACAGAAAAATAGAGAGTTGCTGTTAATGTTCATTATAATTTAGAGGAAATGTAAAGATTAGCTATACTACGTAAGAAATAGTAATTTAATCAGAGATTTTCTGATAAAAATGGGTAGCACATATTTAATGAGAGGAAACAAAACCAGAAGGTTTTTAACTTTTGTGTCTACAGTAATAGAACAGTAAAATTCTCAAAAAGTCTCAAAAATAGAATTGGACTGAAACCTAAAACTTCAGGCCACTAGGAATCATCTCTAGTCAGTACATAAAATCTACTGCCATGATGAAGGTGCAATTTTAGCACTAACCTGCAGAATTCATTATGAAAATGGCCTGGGTTTGTATTTGCAGTAGAAGAGGGTATTTCAGTATTAAAAAAAAAATCCACTAAACAATTGTTTACTTGATGGATGTGAGACTGGTTTCTCCCTCTTACTTGCTCAAATGAGCATCACTTAAGGAGTTTTACTGTTACCCTTCAGCTTTGAATGGTTTGGCACATCTCATTGTACTGATTGTTTTACTCATTCCATATGCTTGTAGAGCATCGTACTGAAATTGCAGTTAGAGGGGGAAAAAGTACATTTGGGTGAAGGAAAATAAACAATAATCCTTTAGACCACACAGGATTAATTGTTTATTTGTCAGAAAGAGAGGAGTACAAGAAGAACTACCGTAAAGTTTATTACTGAACTCAAATAGCTTAGAAGATCTATAATAATTGATGTCTGATGTGTTATGATGCATCAGCGTGAGGAAATATTGAACCTCAACCTTAACATGGTTTTTGTGGTCTTGGATACTTAATGCATCCATTAAAGAGGGAGAGTAAAATAATTTTGTTGCAAAGCTTGAGTCTCCTTTGTCCATTCCATGAGATTTAAGTCAGCGTTAGGCCATTCTGCCCATCTCATGTTATAGGTGCTCCGAGTATAATTTAATATTTCACTAGCCAGTTAACCAGAAAAAATAATACCTGTCACTAACGGTCTGAACTGTTATTCCCCAGGTTTAATCAACTCATTTTACCAACATTTCTTTTGCCCCCCTGTTTGAGGTCTCCTGTTTGGCACAGACGTCATGTGATACCCGATGTGGGAGCTGGAGACTTGAGAGCTGTTTTCCTAGACTAAATGTTTGAGGTTACAGGACGTGGCCTAGTTTCACATAAGCTTTCAAATTTCAGTGGGACATGCTGAATCCTGAAACTGTCAAATAGTGTATTATTTTTGGAGTGAAAGAGAGTACGTGTGTGTGAGTGTGTGAATGACCTTTACATTTTTACTCTATCCTGAAAGTCTGACTTCCTGCCCTTTCTCCCATGAGTCCATAAACTTTAGCAATTAAACTGAACACTTTTTAAGGAAGAAATTCAGTACAGAAGAGAAGAACTGGAAAGGGGAATGGTGTATTGAGGACAAAGCAAGGAGAACAGCTAAATGCTATAAACTGGTTGCTTTGTGATGGATGTAGAAAAATGTGGAGAAGCTGGGATTCTTTCATTTTGCCATGTTTGCCTCTCCATCTTAGTAAGGTCAAGACTTGTGTGTGTTTTTTGTTTTCTTTCCTGCAAAAGAAGCTGAAAGGTTTTTCCTACTTGTCATCAAAGCAGTAGGAGTGATGACTCGTAACAAATGCCATCGCTTTATTCCCAAATCCTTAATTCTTCAAACTTTGTGAGCAACTACAAAGAACCTCTCTTAATGCTGAATAAAATTGTCCACATGTTTATCAAATATCTCCTCCTTGTTATCAGTGACAAAGTGTATTCATGATACTGGTACCACATGTCCCCCAGTCTTGCAAAAAGCTGTGCATTCAGGTGATACATAGCAAAATCTGATCCACAGACTATAAATTCCTGTATACAGAGGTATCTGCTGAGTGGTAACAACAGAACTGTGGATGCCGCAGCAAACTTGTATTTTTTTCCCACTGAAGTGCAAGTTGTTTACAAATATTTTCCCTTCTATACAAGGATAAATGCCTTCTCTATCTAGAGAGTTGGAAGTCTTTCCTATGTCTAAAGGAAATAGAATAAGCCCAAGTTCCTACCTAATATCCTCCCTCCTTGTGGGTCATTTAAGAGTATAGCGCTATAAAGGAAATGCCACCATTTGTATGGGATCAGTAGGATTAAATCCATTTTGCTATAGATTTTTATCTTCCTCATTACATCACCTTAGCAAAACCAATTCTTCCCCCCGAGTTCTGTGCAGTATCTCTCTAGTTACGGTCACTGCTCTTTGTTTCATTGGTAAGTTGGCAGTCCAAGCAAAACGGATCACACCTGAGCTCTTGCCGTAGCCTGTTAGGCTGTGTAGGCCATTGAAATGGACGTTTCCTTTATCTCATTGCCAATTTTTACAAGAATTGTAGAAACTTTAAGACCTCTATACCCTGTCAAAGCTTGCTGACAGTGGTGGGTATTTTAGGTGTCTGGAGGACTGTTGGATAATGCCTCTGCTGGTTGGGAATCAGACCTTTTTTCACCTTTCCTTCTGAAGCTGTCTAATAATTAATGTTAAAAGAATTAAATGGTATGTAATACGATGCAGTGATATCTGTGGATTATGATATTGTAGGGCCTTTTCTTGTGGGAATACAAGTATACTTTCCATTAACTTTGCAAGTATGTATTGATATAACAGATTGAGACGTTCAGGGCAGTGAAATGCACATGAGCTATGAAGCCTTATGATTTCACAGGAAACTATTCAAAGCCTGGGAACTTGGTCTGAAAAGTGACATTATGCTTAATTCAGCTCCCATGACAGAGCTCCCATCAAGCTGAACTATTCTGCTGAAGAAACCTATTAACCAGGCTAGCTCAGTGCATTGGCAGTACTCCTCGTGAGTTTCTTTCTTTCCTTTAGGGATGTAGTTTTCTTTCAAATAGCACTGCATGCTAGGAATGTCTGCCTTTTTTTTTTTTTTTTTTTTTTCTCTTGTGCTACTGACTCATTGACTCTGGCATCTTGACTTCTGCATTTTTTTGGCTAGGAGGGAGGGGTAATTTGTACCCAGATTTAAAGCTCTGTAAACCCTTTCATATTGAAAAGATATGAAGCAACTTTCTTTGTAAGAAAGCCTGGTGTTTAGAGTCTAAAATAAATCCATGATGCTGAAAATAACCTCAGGCAAGTCATCTTACCCTTCTGGCCCAATTTTATGATTAGTTACTGAGCTGTGAATGCTAAATGCTATTAGCAATATATATTATTGTATGAGGTGAGCAACAGCATTGTTCTCAAAAAAAAAATATCTGTATAATGCAGGTCTAATCTACTTGGACACCTGTGTATGGCCTAAAACAGTTCCAGTATTGTTTTCTTGGCTTGTAAACAGCTGTTATCAGTTGAAATAGTACTTAGGACTACTTAGTAGGTGTTACTGAAAATGCAGAGCACATGTCTTCACGCTTGTGTTAAGTGTTGTGACCAGCATTTAGCCCTGTGTGCCTCCTGGGATATCAATAAAGGGATATCAGTAAAGCCAGGTGACTTAAACGAGTGAAATGTGCTCCTGCCCTTATCCTGTTACATGCTCCCAGGCTGCAGATGATCGTCTACCTGGTTGGTAGTGGTTGGTGTTGGTTTGCCAGAGAGCTGTTCAGTACTTGGTTGATTGATCTTGATTATTCTTAATCTCTTCAAGGTATGATTTTTAGGAAGTATCCTACACAAAGGAAGTATACTTGCAGGAGAAGGAATTATGCAACCTCAGAAATTAGCGAATAAAAGTAAAATTAATGATTTTTTTTTTTTTTAATGTGAATTTACAATGTCTATGCAACGTAAACCAAATTTCAGCCCCAGACCATGCCCAGGTATCCTTGCAGGCAGGACAGAGGTGTGCTGTGACAGCGAGTGGGCCAGGCTGAGTGGCCCTACAGTGACTAATTAGCGTGGGCAAGACAGCGGGCAGGGACAAGTAGGGAAACCTGTCCCCGAGGCCTTCAGCAGGTGCTCATGGCTCCCTCCAGCTGTGGGTAGGCCTGGCCCTGATGAGCCCCAGGCTGCCTGAAAAGGGAGCCACCAGCTGTTGGGTGTGTGAAGTTTTTGGGTTTAATTGCTGCCCCTAGATAAGGAGGCACTGGAAGGGGTTGTGGGGTAGCTGTCTGTGGGGTGCCACGAGGTGAGTTAGGGGCTTTTGTTAGGATTTGGGTGGTTTTCATTGGTATGGGTGTGGTTGTGACTGGTGGTGCTGTGAGGTGAGTTGGGTTTTTTGGTGGGATTTGGGTGGCTTTTATCACTTGTGGCTGTGGTTGTGACCTATCACGATGCATGCGGCTGCTTCATTGCCTTTCTGGGCCACCCTTTAGCGTGTGTACCACAACCACGACGCCCTCTCGGCTCTTTTACACCACTTTTACTTCACTCCACGGCGGAGGAAGGCTCGCAGCCCGTGCCGGGAGCTGGCTGCGCCTCTCCCCTCTCCGCGTCCACCTCAGCCACCGCGGGGCCGGGCCGGGCTCCGGCCGCGGCTCTCCCTGGGCCGGAGGCCGCGGAACGGCGGCGGCGGTGCCGGCGTTGCCGCAGGGGCGCTGTTGGGACGGACCCTGCCGGCTGCGGAGCCGCCATGGCCGCTTTGCCCCGCGTCCTCAACGTTAACGTGGGCGTCCTGGGCCACATCGACAGCGGCAAGACGGCGCTGGCCAGGGCGCTCAGCACCACCGGCTCCACCGCCGCCTTCGACCGGGCTCCGCAGAGCCGGGCGCGGGGCATCACGTTGGATCTGGGCTTCTCCTGCTTTCGCACCGCCCTGCCTCCTCAGCTCGGCCCGGGGCCCGGAGAGCTCCAGTTCACCCTGGTCGACTGCCCGGGGCACGCCTCCCTCATCCGCACCATCATCGGCGGTAAGGGGCAGCGGGGGCGGCCGCCCCTCCCCGGCCCGGTGCGGCGGGGCTCGGGCTTGGGCTCGGGTCGGGGCTGGCACAGGTTTGGTGGCCTCGGCACCCATCTCCGGGGCCCCTCCAGCACCAGCTCTGTGCCCCGAGGGAGGCTGGCTGGAAAGGGGAGTGCTCCGGTGGTCTCGGCGCAGGCCTGGCTGGTTTGCTTGCAAGTCCTTGGAGAAAAGTTTTTGTTCTTTACAAAGAGTGTTTGTGGTGTGGAAGTGTAATGGTAGCTTGGTTTGCCCCCCTGGTTGAAGCTGCCAGGTTGGTATCCCTGCTGCTGGGAGCTGTGGTGCACCTCGTGGGTGTGCAGATGTGGCAGACCCTGCTGGTGCGGAGGCCGAGGGCTTCTCGTGAAAATTGTGTAGTTAGAAAGCATCAAGTGGGTTTTGGTCATCTTCCGTTTTAGTCTTCGTTGAGGATACACGGAGATTCATCGGGCTGGCTTTAGAGATCATTTTAGGTTAGCTCACCTTGTTCTGTGACGAACAGCACCTCCCGCCTCTGTCTCTTAAAGTTGAGAGCCTGTTGGTGCCTGACAGGGATTGTGGCAGCAGGCACTGCAAAGTACTCCCAGGCTGATAAACTGAAGCTACAGGGGCTTCAGAAAATCCAGTTCCCCTGTATTTGCTGTGCTAGTGCCTCCTTAGCGTCTAGGAGGTGGTAGTTTTGTAACATGATGTACGCGTCCTGGCAGCTACGCTGAGGTTCAGGCCAAGTTACTCTTCACGATGTACAAGTTAACCCCCCTTTTGAGCAGTCATAATACATGTAAGTGGTATTAGCAGTAATAACATTGTACTGCTTGCATTTCTTTTGGGTAGAATAATAAATACTTCACTTCTTGATTTCTGCAGCACTGTCAGTGCATGCTCAATAGCTGCAAGAGCGGAGTGGCTGTGTGCCGAATCCCTGAAATCTGTGGTCTTTGAGTCTTTTGTGCTTTACAGTCTGTTACTGGGCTTAAGTAATTGTAAGCACCTGATTATCTTCTGAAGAGCCAAGTTTATTTTGGCAAATGGTAGCTTTTCTTGGACAGGCTGTAGAGTGACTTGCAGATAGACACTCCTTTCTTTAGGAAACAACTAATCTGAGCAGGGTGAGCTTTCTCTGAAGAGGACTCAGGAAGGCCTGGAAAAATAGCTTTTGTTATCACTTATTTTGGAGTGGTTATTTGATACATAAACTTCTTATTGCTTCCTACTTACTGCTCTTATGAAGAACTTTACAGCATTTAGTCCCAGCTGTCTAAGTTGGTTGAATAAGTTAATCAAAAAACATTACTGATGGGCCATGCTGGGAGAAGAAAGGATGTGGATTAGACTGGGTGAATGATAATTTTTCTTCCCAGCAAGCATGGTTCTGTACAGGTACCAATTCCGGCACATAAGCTTGTCAAACTCGCTTAGTCCCAATTATACCAGATTACATATTTTAATGAAAATATTTGATTTGTATGACTTACTGCAATCCTATATATTAAACAGAATTGCAAAGAAAATGCAGTATTGTGTTAATACTCAGAGCTAGGAACTTTAGCTGCATGCTTGATAGCATACACATAAATCTTGATATTGGATGCTTATTTGTTTTTACTACCAGGTTTAAAAAGTGAGACCTTGTTGTTAAAACCTGATCTATGCTGCTGGGACTATTCAGGGCACTTTCAATTTTAGTATGTTTTGGTGAAACTGAAGTATATTGTGTGTAATAGGATACATCCTTCAGTATTTTGATATTGCCACCATTTCCAGTTTTTTGGAAGTGGAAAGCCAGGCCTCCCAGATCACGGTACTTTAAAATTTAGATTTTCATCTTCTTTCTCAGCATAAGCGTTCAGGGTTTGCCATTCCAAGCATTTTCACTGTAAGCAAGGAGGCTACTGCTCTTTTTTAGATGCTATGATTTTCTTCTTACGTTTTCTATTTTTAAGGCTTCTAAATAAAATATCAGAGCAAAATGTTCTATCTTCCTATGTTAATTCTGCACGTCAGAGTTCCCCCAGGTCTTGAAAATACCGCTCTCCTGAAATTAAGGCCTGAGATTTCTGCAGCTTGAGTTAACCTACAGAAAAATGGGAGGTGGAGGGGCTCCAATAAAGGGAGCAGGATGTGAGGATTTGGAAGGGGGGTGAGAAGAGGGCAGCTTTCTCTTCTGTGTTATCCTCATCCGTGTGCAGCTTTTGCTGTTGGGGCTACAGGTGTGAAAATATGCTGCTGCATGCTCCTGCTTGAAGCTCTTTCATTGAAGGTTGTGTAAACTGGTTGGATCTCCTTTGAATGCCCTGTTGGGTGTTGCTGTCTGCTGTGGCTGGGTAGCAGTGGCTTTATTCAGTTTGCTAAATCTGCCACTAGGCAACTAGCTCAAGAAGCTTCTTCTCAGGAGCTTTTTACTAGCTTCACAAGAGCAATCAGCAGCCTGTCATCCTTTCTAACCAGCATCTTTTCTGTGTTTCCAGAATACTCGAAGGGTTAATTCCTCTCCAGTGCAAGGCTGATAAACCCACTTGCAGATCAGCTGAAACTATTTACTGTTCTCTAACATATTTTTGAATCTGGCTAATTCTTGAAGGGCATTTTTCATGGCTGAATGTAGTATTGCATTTTTGTCATGCTACGCTAGGTAGCACTTGACCTTGCAAATACTTTTCACAGTCACTCACAGGATGCTTATTTAGAGACAATACCTTAGGATTAAGTGAATGCAGAATATTTGAGCAGTAAGCAAATGGAATGGAAAATGGAAGTCATATTTCATTCTCTGTGGCTGCATTTTTCTTACAAAGCTTGTCCTTGAAAAGAAAACCTATCGAATGCTAAATCAAGTGTGTTTTGTTTTTTTCTAACCTGCATGCTAGGAATTGGAAATGTTGTGGACAGTTCCACCCAAGTTGCTTTCTTAAAGTTTTATCTGGAAGGTGATAGTCAAGCCTGGAATGGAATAAGTGATGGGCACTTGACTTAGTACATCATGTTTTATGCTTGTATTTAAACTATGCTGGTTTATTCTTCCACCACAGACTTCTCTGTCTGATGTCGCAAGAAGGTATTAAGTTACTTTGGGTAGTTGCATGGTTTGGACTCTGCTGTGTACTTCATTTATTTGCACTATTCTGAACGGCAGGAACAGAACTTTTTTCCTAGTACTTGATATGAGTTTCAAGACTTCACTTGGCAGTAGCAGGAGGTAGTCTTTCATGCAACAAGTGCTGTTTGTATTTACGGCTTTTTATACTCAAATTGCTAAACAGAAAACAAATCTGAATAACTGATTTTTAATGGTAAATTCTTAGCTTGTCACAAGAAGCACTCGTATCAGCTGTGCTTGCCTTTTGCACTGAAGGAATGAGTGCAGAGTGCAGTGCTGCTTTCCTCCATTGCTAGGGAGAGTTAAGAGGTGTCTTGTCAAAATTGTACACTCACTGAGATGAAGTAGTCTCTGTCTGTGCTGTGTTTTTGTTTTTTTTTAGCTGCCATCCTTGTGTTAGATCTCAGCTCTCCAGGCTTCGGCAAAACTGATGTTAACCAAATCGAAGTAAAACAAGACTTGCTTTTAGGTTTGCGTGTTGCAGACGGTGCATCCAGAACGGTGTCTCCAATGAGTTCAGCAGCAGGGGATGCCCACGGAGAGGTTATACGAGTTAATCTTCCAGAAGAAATTCAATCCCCATATTTCATTTTAAGACCACTTTGCGTAGCAAAGTAGTCTAACCAGTAGCAGATTTTTTACTTGCTGATGGTTAATTTCATGCCCTACAAAGGGTCAGCACACTAATACAGAAGAACATGATTACCTCACCCCAGCTTCCCCCACACACATGCAGCGAGGGGATCCTGCGGGGTTTGTTTTAGGTGAGCTGTTGTCAGATGCTTTTGCTGTTCAGCTCTGAGATGGGTTCTCAAACGAACTTCTACAGAAGAAAGTTATCTTTCTTTTACCCCGTGAAGTTCAAAGGACGGGGTAGCCTTATAGGGTTTTAATTGGAAAGCTACTGCTTGACCCTGGTTGTCTAAACCTGTGGGGGAATTCTGGCGAACTTGTAGTTTTGTAATCCTTGTGCCTTGCTGAACCTTTGACCTCTTTACTTTATAACCAGAGCTTCATTGTCACCATTTGTCCCTGCAGTTCCTTTCAAAGAAAACTGCCTTGCAAGTGTCTGTTTCCACTTTGCTGCTGTGTTCCGTTAAGGAAGGGTATTAATTCATACCTGATACATCGGAGGGGCCAAGACTTTTGAACTTGCACAAGAGCTTGGGGAGGGGGAAATGAGCATAGCAAAAGCATGTCTTGCTGATGCAAATGAGTACAATGAAAACAGTCTTGGGAGATCAAGGGGAATGTGGGCTTGCTACCAGCATTCAAAGGCGGTCAGATGCAGATTATTTGTAAGATTAACACAGCGCCAAAAGAAGGTACTTTTATCGCAGATTTGTTGTTTTGATGAAGTTGTTGTAAGGTTTTAAGAGAACTTGTAAACTCAGGGTTACCTTTACATTACTGTCAAGAAAATATACTGCCATCAGTGCCAACCTTTGCTTGTTGACAACTTTGTGAAGATACAACAGTTCTTGTTTTTTTTTATTTTTTTATCCCAGGTGAGAAAGAGCTCTGTACAGTTTTAGAGTGGTATATACATCTTACATTATATATATATGGATTACTTGTGACTGGGCACCACAGTATAAAAAGGACATGAAACTGTTGGAGAGTGTCCAGAGGAGGGCGACGAAGATGGTGAAAGGCCTGGAGGGGAAGACGTACGAGGAACGGCTGAGGGCACTGGGCCTGTTCAGCCTGGAGAAGAGGAGGCTGAGGGGAGACCTCATCGCAGTCTACAACTTCCTCGTAAGGGGGTGTCGAGAGGCAGGAGACCTTTTCTCCATTAACACCAGCGACAGGACCCGCGGGAATGGAGTTAAGCTGAGGCAGGGGAAGTTTAGGCTGGACATCAGGAAGGGGTTCTT